CCCCCAGGAGCTCGGGACTTTGGGCTCAGCTGCCCTCCACATTCACAGGGTATAAACATCACCATCCACATCCAGAACACCTGTCATCTTCCCAAACTGCAACCCTTCCTACTAAACACTAAGCCCCCTTCTGTCTGCCCTCCCGTCACCATTCCACTTTGCCTCTTATGAATCTCACTGTTGCAGATACTTCATACAAGTGGAATATATGGTATTTATTCTTTTTAAACTCTTACATGCCAGTTAGTATAATATCCTCAAGGGTCACCCATGCTGTAACACATCAGAATTTCCTATTTTAGGTTTTGTAATCTCCCATTGGATGTGTAGATCTATTTTTGCTGATCTATTCATCCAGTGATGGGTAGTGTGCTGCTTCCCCCTTTTCACTACTAATAATGCTGCTTTTGTGAGGAAGATGGCGCACACCCATAATCTCAGCACTCAGGGAGGCTGAGGCAGGAGGATCATTATGAATTCAAGGCCAGTTTGGGCAACATAGTGAGTTCAAAGCCAACCTAAACTACCTACTGGAACCCCATCTCAAAGAAACAAAACAAAATAAGTTTTTAAGAAGAATAAAGAGATTTTAAACTTTTAAAGAGCTTTTAGCCAGTCTTGATCTAGAAGAGATTTCTTAGAAGGGCCCCTAAGCAAAAGTTTAGAAGCTGCCAACTGTATATAACCAACAGAAGAATATATAGTGCTTCTTAAATCATGACCTGAGGCTATAAAAGAAGAGAAACTACTGATAAAATCCTGGGCTCCTTGGTGCATAGTAAATTTCAAGTAAGTATAGCCTACAGCTATACATTATATGTGTTTCTTATACAAGATGCCAGAAAATAAGTTATAAAGGCAAACTGATTTCTATCCAGTGAGCAATGAAAGGTTTGGAGAGGGCTGGCGAGATAGCTCAGTGGTCTAAAGCATCTTTGCAAGCGTCAGCAAAGTGCAGGGACTGCAGTTTGATCCCAGGCACCACATGCTGAACCAGCCCCACCCCAGGGCAGGCTGAGCTAGCCAAAAAAAAAAAAAAAAGTTTAGAGAGTGGGAAGAGAAAGCAGTAGAGGATGTTAGGCTCAAAGCAGTCAGGTGAAAAAGGCCCTGGATGCAAGACTCGCCTGGACTTCAGTCTGGATGTGACCAGTGGAAGGTCCAAGACTATGCAAGATCCTCAACCTCAGCAAACCCCAGTGTCATTTCTCATATGATAATTGGTTTCCTGCATCCCAACAGTCAGCTGGCCTTTCTTAGATCCTTTGAGACTTTTTCACTTCCCCTACTTTTGTCCTATATGGTTGTGAAAACTACATTAGATACTGAAATGTATGGTTCATAGTAAGCATCAACAAATAGTAACTATAATGATGAAAAAAATTGAGATGCTTGACTCATCTTTGGTTCTCAAAAATGTCAGTTTCCTGTCTCCTTTTACCTAATTTTATCAACATGTTAGAGAGTTGGTCTATAAGTAAACGGGGAATTTTTTTCTGGACTAGAAGTCTTCATATTTTTCTGTTCTCTTATTCCCTCTATGGAAACTTAATATCCTCTCCTGTGATTTTTTTCAATACAAACTTAAAATAGAGTAAATTTCAATTTCCCACATATTATAAATATTAGCACACTGAGCCAGGTGTGGTGGGGCACCTCTATAATCCCATCACACTGGAGGCTGAGACACAAAGATTCACTTGAGTTTGAGGTACACAGTGAGTTCAAGACTAGCCTGAAATGCATAGTGAGACCCTGTGTCAAAAAAAAAAAAAAAAAAGCATATTGAAAATAAATTTCCCATGTCAAAATGAACATTTAAAAAGGGTTGGGTATACAATTCTTGTTAACCTGTCTCTGTTATAGACATGTCAGCCCCAACCTTGAGACAGATAAGGAAATTACTTCTCCTGGCATACTTAAAGGAGATCTCCCCTTCCCAAAGGTGATACAGGATGCTTTTAAAGTCACTGGTCCAGCCGTGGGATGGGGCAGAAGGGGAAGAGAAAGAATCTCGAATGACCTAGGAAGGGCCAGCTGAGTACTGGGATGCAGGAAGCAAATTAAAAATATCTCCTGTCCTGTAATCCAGTGTGGTTCTGTTTACTGCCTTGCTAGCACTCATATCACCAAATAGCAATTGCACAAATTCTCTACCAGGGCTGTGACATTTTTCCCCCTGAAATTCCTTATTCTGTTCTTGGTACTATCTTTTTCTTCCAATGAACCCAAATACTTAGTGTGTAAATTCTTTTTTCTTCCTCCATCTTTTTGAGACAGGGTCTTACTACACAGTCCAGACTGGCCTTGAGCTCACTTTGTGGTCTAAGCTGGTCTCAGATTCATGGCGATCCTCCTGCCTGGGCCTCGGGTGCTGGGACTGCAGGCATGCATTACCATTACCGATTGTAAATTGTCTTTAAGATTCAACCTATTTGGGCTGGAGAGATGGCTCAGTGGTCTAAAGCACCTACTTAGAATAAGCTTAGCAAAGCATCAGGGACCGCGGTTCAATCCCCCAGCACCACATGCCAGCCAGCCCCGCCCCCTGGTGGGCTGAGCTGGCCACACACACACACCACTCTCTCTCTCAAATAAATAAAAAAAAAAAAAATTAAAAAAAATTAAAAAAAAAAAAAAGATTCAACCTATTTTATGAAGGTTTCATGCCACATAAAAGCAGGTCACATTGTTTTAGCTGGCCAGATGAGGCTGGGGTGCAGATGAAAAAGATGTATCTAACTCCTCCCAGAATATTTCCTTCATAAAAATTTTAAGTGTGAGAGGTTTATTAGAGCAGTAAGCCACCGGAGTCTGCCTTGTCACTTCTCTCACCATGACAGAATACCCTAGCTAATACCGTTGAAGAGAGCCAGGTATACTCTGGACACAAGGTTTCAGTCCCTGGCGCTTGGCTGGCTGCCTTTGGGCCTGTGGCCACATCACAGACCTTCATCACCGAGCAGGTCCCCTCTCAGCTGGAAGGAGACGCAGCATCCAGGGTCCCAATTTCCTCCTGAGCACCACGCCCCAATGACCTCACTTCCGCCCCCTTCTGAGGGCTCCGTAGGCTGCGACCACGACTTCAACGGGGGCGCGTAGGGGACACTGAACTATAGTACCGGCACTGTCCGTAAGCAGAAGAGAACCAGGGGCTCTGGCTGAGGGCCTTGGGAAGCGCACTGCGAGGGCTGGCGTTCAATCGCCAGCACAGGCACAAAAGTAAAATTCACAGCGTGCATTTCCCATGATTCCGCAGAGCCGAGCGCCCCTGCCCACACCGCAGCACCTACTGTGGAGACCCGTGACGAGCGCCTGGCTCTGGCTTCCCCCAGGGCTGGAGTCTGCCGCCCGCCCCCAGCTGCCACTGTGCGCCAGCCACTCCACGTGGGCGCGGCTCACCTCACCCGACTCCAGCACCTCTGCTGCCGTGTGAGGAAGGAAGGGGCCACCGCGAGTGGTTAAGGCCAGGCAGAGCTGGCGGCCCACAGCGACCTCCCTGCTGCGCAGCCCGCCTTCCAGAAGGTTCCCTGGTTTTGGCCCCGCCCCCTCACTAGGCCGTGGTGAAAGCGAGGCTGTCTTGCAGTCCTGCACCAATCACGGGCCAGCACTTGCACCACATCAACCACAGGGCGGGAGCTGCGAAGTAAGCAGCACGCCCCGCATGGCCTTTGGCTAATCTCCTTAGCTGTGTTCAGGGTAGGTTGTGTCTGCGGAGCTGAACGGGCTGTGTCAAAGCTTCCTTTACTGAGTGGGCCTGCGTGCTTGCTCGTTTATTTCTTAGGTACTTTGTGCGATGAAAATTCCTCTAACTCTACCCAGAATTCTTGAGTAGCGTGGACAGAGGAGTCTTTAAAAAGAAAGAGCAAGAAGCGCCAGGGGCTGTTAGCACCGAAAAGCTCGAGACACCAGCAATTTGGAAGATCGGCAACAGGGGCATTAGCTGGCAACCAGCAGGACCTGGCGTCGTCAGGGCTGGTAGCAGAGCTGCACTCTGCGGGTTTCCATCCGAAAGGAGCAAATCAAGCTGAGTTGGTTGGCAGCACTGTGTGCTCAATAAACAACTGCTCTGTAAGGTTGCTTCAATTTACAAGTTTTAGCACACCTGGGCCAAGCCTCCTTGGCTTGATTACGTTATAAAACCTTTCAGCAAAATTGAACAGTGCAGTGTTAAAAACTTCCCAAACCTCCGGCAAGCCGAATCAAGAAGAAAACCTGCGTGGCTGCACTCGCTTACTTGTCAGAGGTCTCCGTATTTGTAGCAAACAGAACAACGTTTAGCCTGAACCTGGGGAGTGGGTTGGATTCGTATGGGGCTGGCTTAAAATGGTGGGGTGAACCCTGAAACAGCAACCAGAGCGATCCTTCTGGCCCAGGCCCCAGAATGTGGGATTTGATCCTTTTCTCTTAGTTGTTTGGAGGCCGGCCTCGTTGTTTTGTTGCCAGACTGACTTTGATCCCACGTTCCCTACTGCCTGAGCCTTCCCATGATGGGACTGCAGGTGTGTGCTGCACTGGGCTCCTAGGGCTTGTATTTTTTATTTCACTATTTACCAGGGTCCAAAGGCTTTTACTTCGGCCAGGCGTGGTGACATGAGCCTGTAATCTCAGCACTCCGGAGGCTGAGGCAGGAGGATTGCTGCAAATTTGAGGCTTGGGCTTTTATTTTTTGTTATTTATGCGGAGCTGAGGGTTGAACGCACAGCCTTCACATGGAGCACATCTTCGGCCCATTTAATTTCATTTTATTATTATCGGGCAAGGTCTCATTAAACTTCCCAGGTTGGGCTTCAATTTGCGATCCTCCCGCCTCAGCTAACCGAGGGCTTAGAGCAGGGGAGCGCCACCAGCCGGCTGGTCTCCATGGCTCCCAAGCACGAAAGAGCAAAACCCGGGGGATGGGGACCCAAGCGCGCGAGCCGGCAGGAAGGGGCGGGGCGGCGGGGGCGGCCCGGGGAAAAGGCGCGCGAAGGGCCAGCCCAGCCCACCGGTCCGCAGCCGCCGGAAGCCGCGCACCATGCCTGCCTCGGGCCCCGAGCTCCCGCCGGCCTGCGCGCCGCACGGGGAGCTGCAGTACCTGCGGCAGGTGGAGCGCATCCTGCGTGGCGGCTTCCGCAAGGACGACCGCACGGGCACCGGCACGCTGTCGCTGTTCGGCATGCAGGCGCGCTACAGCCTGCGAGGTGAGCAGCCGCGCGGAGGCCACCCCGGAGGGGACCCGGACCCTGCGACCCGGCCGCGCGCGTCAGCCCACGAGCGCATCCCGGGACGGCGCGGGGGAGCTGGAGCCCGGGCCCGGGCTGCGCCCGCACACGAGCCGTTCCGCTTCGCCTAATTTTTTAAAAGGCGGAGCGAAAACACTGTGGGCGGGGAGGCGGGAAAGGGATCCGCGCCGCCAGCCTGGGCGGGAACTTGGGGCTCCCGAAGGTTCCCGCCGACCGAGTGCGGGCTCATTCTTTGCGCTTTTTCTTCACCATTGTGTAGGCCCGGGGAGAAGGGAAACGCGGGTGGTTAGGGTCAGGTTGCAGGGAACGAGGGACGGGGCGAGGGCCTGTGCGTTGGCTTCTGTCCCGCTGCCTTGAGCGCCTACTGCCTGTCACCTTCTTTGTGGGGCGCGTCCTGCAAGGCGGGTGAGCCTGGGGTAACACTTTTCCATGATGAGTGGGGACGCAAGTGTGGGATAGGGTTTGATGGGGGAACGGCCCCCCAGACTCGCGTGGCATCCCTGTTCTACAGAACAGAAACCATCGGGGATCTCTTCCTGCTGCTCTGGAAGGAGCAGACTGAAGCAGCAGAAAGCGGCTTTTAACCCGTGCTCAGCAGAGGGCTTGGGTGAGCGCTCAGGTCTTCTCTCTAGGTTACAGGAGGAGGAGTTAAGGCGCAGTAGCTGGTAAAACACCTCCTCTGAATTTCAGCTACAAGGAGTGATCAAGATGGACAGTGACTATTTAAAAATGTATTACAGTCAAAAGCACATTGCCATTTGCCATGAATTCCCAAAGCCTCCCAGTCACTTCAGACACACGTGCCACCATTCTCTTCTCGGTCCCTTCTAGGATGTCTCTAGGGAATGGGATCAAAAGTAGGGTGAGTGCTGCTGCCACATAGAAGCATCCCAGTGTGGCCAGATTTGGCCAGATTCACCAGATCTGCCAGCATGGGGCTTCTGGCTCTTCCCCTGAGTCAAAGTGGCCATGAAAGGCAAACATTTGGGTTCAGGACATAGAGGCAGCCACCACAGTGCAGCTGAAGACAGGAAAGAGGAAGACAGAGGACTTCCAGAACTGCTTCAGAAAGGGGCAAGAACTGTGGGAGGAGTGCATTGAAAGGGGGGATTATCTCTAAATTTATCTCTAAAGAGATGAGCTTTTACACATTTATACTTCTCTGTTGCTTGTTGCTTCTGTCCCTTAAGCTGTGTAAACCTCTGTAGGGCCTCTGCCTGTAAAATGAACATGAAGGTTCCTCTAAGTGAGTTGTGTCCTGGATTAAATAATATCCTGCATGTGACATGTTGGAACAGCCAGTGTTTTTGGTAGACTGTAATAATAGACTGGTTTGCTTTATGTGCATCTGCCAACAGCTATTAGTAGTTGCATTGTGGATCTACTCTGTACCCTGGAGGAAGGGTTCTTCTCTGGCAAGATGCTGGTAGAATTAGTAGGTGGAGCATTTGGGCTTTGTCCAGGGCTACAGTTAGGGCAGCAGGGTGCCGGTCACACTGGCTGGATGGCAGGTAGGAACCCTGCCCTCTCCTGGTCACTCACACAGCACATGTCCAGGAGTCACTGGGCTCTGGAGGGCTGGCCAGCCTGCCAGCTCAGCCCCACCCTGGCCCCAGTGCCCGCTGGATAGGAGTTTCTTCCATGGGGTGTCCCCATGCTCGTGGCTCTTTCCTCCACAGAGAAAGTGGAAGCTCTGTCTTGACACATTCAAACTGTCTGGCAAACTTTTTCAGATGAATTTCCCCTGCTGACCACCAAGCGTGTGTTCTGGAAGGGTGTTCTGGAAGAGCTGCTGTGGTTTATCAAGGTAAAGAAGCGGCTGCTGTGAGACACTGGGTTTGTTCTTAGCCCAAGCCATGGAGCGCCTTTAAGGCGGGTCATAGCTGGGAGGCTGAGGCAGGAGAAATCCAGGTTGGAGCCCAGCCTGGGCAGTTTAGTGAGACCTTGTGTCAAAGAATAAAAAGAGGGCTGGGGTTGTAGCTCTAAGCAAAGGCCCAAGGCCACACGTGCACACGCATGAAAGTCAGATCCTGTCACAACTCGGCCTAAAGCCTTTAGCAGCTCCAGTTTCATCCACTCAAGAGCCAGGTTTCGTGGGGCCCCATCTCTGGCTCTGACCTTACTGTTTCTCTACCTCACCCGTGCTAGTCTCCCTACCGAACTCTGGGCACACCGGGACATTCCCACTGTGAAACCTTCCTCCCTGACACTTCCTTCAACACTGTTCAGCAGCAAGCTTTTTCTTTTGTGTTTTGAAACAGTCTTGCTCTATGTAGTTTAGGCTGGCCCTGAGTTCACTTTGTAGACCAGGCTGGCCTTTTGTGTCCTCCTGCCTCATCCACCCAAGTGCTGGGGTTACAGGTGTGCACCCCACCACAGGGGCTCAGATTTTCTGGACTTCCCTGTCACAGACAGCCTGGTCCTGTGTTTTTCTCCTCAGGGAAATGGTGTGTAATGCCAGCCTTGCTCTTCCCCATGAAGAGGGGGAAGGTAGACAAATAAGTGAAATGCTGCCTAAGCGCCATGTGGGCAGGCTCCTCCTCCCAGCTCCAGGTCCTGGGCCTAGGCCGGGGGTTCTGCCCGGTGTTGGCCGAGGGTTCCTGCAAAAACAGGTGAGCCCTGGGCCACGTGAGGTGGAAGTCGAGCATGTCAGGTGGTTCAAATCAGAGCTGGAACCTCTGATCCTGTTTTGGAAATGGCTGGGCTTTGGACCTTCCATCTGCCTCAGCGTTGTGTTCTGGGTGCTTTACACTAGCCTCTCAGCTGGCCTGCAGTACCTGGCCTGGGATCTTCAGGCATTTCAGAAGGAGCATAGTCTTTGTGCTATTTTGGTGGTGCTATGGAGTGAACCCAGGGCCATTGCTCACATTCCACAGGAAGTGGGCATCATCAGCCAGTGAGAGCTCAGTCTGGGTGGGTGGAAACAAGACTTATAAAGCAGAATCCCAAAGACAGAAATGACTTATTGGAAGCAAAAAGTTGGGGACAAAACAGTAGAAAGGGAGGAGGCATTGAGATGCTTAAGAATAAAGCACTTCCTGTTTTAACTGGAAGTCCTTAGCAGGTGACCAAAAACAGGAGCCAACAGGTCCCACCCTATCTGCCCAGCAGCCAGGGGTCGGTGAGGAGGTGGAGTCAGACCACACAGTAGCTGGGTCTTCACAGCCCGGCCTTTGGCTGGAGTTATCTCTCCCTGCACATGGCAGACCCCAGGCCTTTGCCTCTGCACAGAGGGGCAGGGGACATCAGGTGATAGCAGGCAGAAGGACCAGCCGAGGCCCAGGTGCACATGGCAAGCCTTACTGGTTATTCCTCAGCACCTTCGTGGACAGAGGGGCCTGTGCTTGCCCTAGACGCCTGTCTCGGGACAGGTCAGAATGTCACAGGCTCAATCTAATGAGATGAAGTAGAAGAAAAATAAACACAGGGCGTGGCACTTAGCAGGGAGCAACTGTTAATAGAGATTGCAGGTGGGCAGGTGAGGAGGAAGTAGGACTTTATAGTGGCATATAGAGAGTGAAATAGTATCCACCTTTGTTTATTTTGTCTTTTTGATTCAAGGTCTCTCTGCAGTTCAGGCTAGCTTTGAGCTCACTTTGTAGCCCCGTCTGGTCTCAGACTTGCACCAATCCCCTGCCTCAACCTCCAGAGTACTAGGATTACAGGCATGCACCACCACACCTGCCAGTGTTCACATTTACCCCAGTTTAGCGGGTAACGTTTGTCAGAGAAGCAAATGCTGAATAAATTATCCTGTATGCCAGGTATATGCACATACTGCATGTGAGGCAGGAAGTTCTTTTTTTCATTTTGTGTATTTGGTACAGGGTCTCACTATGCAGATCGGACTTATGGTGATCCTCCTGTTTTCAGCCTCCCCAGTGCTGGGATTACAGGCATGCACCACCACACCCAGACTCTGTCAGCGTGCCCCAGGGCAGGGTCAGCCTGGCATGCAGGACCAAGGATCAAACTCTCGTCCCTGTGCTTGCCAAAGCAGGTGCTTAGTCCTCTGAGCTATTTTGCCTATCCTAGGAAATTCATTTTGGAGTACCACATTTAGACATAGGCCATGCTTAAGAAATACAAAACCAAAAACAGGAAAAGAAAAGAAAAAAAAAAATACAAAACCTGCCGGCCAGATAGCTCAGCGGACTAAAGCTCCTGCTTAGGCAGAGTACAGCAGCCAGGGTTCAATCCCAAGCCTGTCTTGCTGGCCCCACCCCAGGGCATGCCGAGACAGCGATTGAGACTGGGCGTGCCTGTAATTCCAGCACTTGGGAGGCTTAAAACAGGAAGATCACTACAAGTCTGATCTATATGTTAAGACCCTGTAGACCCTTTAGACTCTGTACTAAATACATTAAAAAGAAAAGAAAAGAAAAAGAAATACAAAACTGACCTGGGCTTGATGGTACTTGCCTATAATCCCAGCACTCAGACTGAAGTAAGAGGATTGCTGCACATTCAAGGCCAACCTGGAACCTAGCCTGTGTATCGAGGCTTCCTTTTAAAAAAGGAAAGCTGGGTGTGGTGGCACATACCTGCTATCCCAGCAGTCTGGAGGCTGAGAAAAAAGGATACTAAGTTAAAGGCCAGCCCAAGCAATCCAGCCCCAGCAATTAAGACCCTGTCTTAAAATAAATAAGGACTGGAATATAACTTAGTGCAAAGGCCCTGGGTTTAAAATCCATTATAGTAAAAGGAAAAACTTTGACTCAGTTCCCACTTTACTTCCATTTCTTCCAGGGATCTACAAATGCCAAGGAGCTGTCATCCAAAGGAGTAAAGATCTGGGATGCCAATGGGTCCCGGGATTTCCTGGACAGCCTGGGGTTTTCTAGCCGCCAGGAAGGGGACCTGGGCCCCGTCTATGGCTTCCAGTGGAGGCATTTCGGGGCTGATTACAAAGATATGGACTCAGGTGAGGACATGGCCAGGTCCCCAACATGCCAGGTACCCTTCCTGGCCTCAGTTTGCTCCGTGGGTGGGTGAGGAGGGGGCAAACAAAGTCTGTGCCTACTAAGTCCCTGGAGCTGATGGAGAACTTGGCCACTGGGGAGCTTGGAGCTTTGCTGTGTCCTTGGCTGATAGCTGTAGGCTCGGCATCCATGGTGCAGGAGAAGCTGCCCAGGTGTGTCTTATGGTGGCGTTGCTCTCTTTTCAAGGCCAGACCAGCTGGGCTTGATGGTACGCACCTGTTCCGAGACTGGCGGCTGAGGCAGGAGAATCACTACAAGTTCTAGTGTGAGAACAGCCTGGGCTACCGAGTGAATTCAGGGGTCAGCCCGAATACATAGCAAGACTGTCTCAACAACACTAAAAGCAACACTGGTCCACTCGCACAGTTTAGGGGGCGTCAGAGTGCTGGTGGTCACCTCTGCCTGCTGTGCAGGAACAGGAAGGGACATCCCACGGCAGGATGTCCTTTTCCATGCTGTTGGTGGCCCCACTGAGCCACAGAGACCAGCCCCAGCCTCTGGTTCTTGTCTTGGCTGTCCTGAGGCAGATGCCTGTGTGCACAGGAAGTAACAACTCCCTGGCTGGGCAGGACCACCTGACGTTGTGTCTCCTCTAAAGGGACGGTGTCACAGCTCCATTCTCCTGGAGGGACTGGGCTGGTGCTTCCTGAATCCCTTTTAGTAAAAGCTGGAAATTACCCTTATGTGCAGCCATGAGACCTTGTTAACATTGGCAGCTTTAAGACACACACACACACACACACACACACACACACACACACAGGATTGAAGCTAAAGCCTCAAACCTCCAACCATTGTTATATTTTATTTTAACGCAGGGTCTTGCTAAGATGTCCAGGCTGGACTAGAACTTGTCATTCACCTGCCTCAGCCTCCCAGAATCAAGATTTTAAAATGCTGGGTAGACCAGCAATGGCCAGATTTATAGAGGTACAACGTAGAATGTGCGTAGCCAGAGGCTGGAGAGAAGAGGAAATGGGAGACTCGGGTCTAGCAGGCATGCACTGTTCGTTTGGGATGGTGCAAATGCTGGAGATGGACAGTGTGCAGGTTGTACAAGATGAATATGCAGTCAGTGCTGCTGAGCTGCATACTTAAAAATGGTTATGGTAGTGCATTTAATGGTATGTGTACTTTATCACAGTGAAAACGGTGTGGTACAAGTCAGACATGATGGCACAGGACTATAAGAGGCAGGAATAGTGCCAATTCAGGCCCAGCCTAGGAAACTTTAACAACTTAATGAGAAAGAGCTGTGGACGTGGCCCAGCGCTAAAGCCCTGGGCACACTCCTACAAAGCCCAGCAGAGCAGGCTTTCTGCAGGTAAATGGTCTGCAAGTTGCCTGCACTTGCTGCCCTAGGGCCTCTTCTAGAGGCCACTTTCCTGGCCTGTGGTGCCTTGCCTCTTTTGTGTATGTGTGTGTCGTACTGGGAATGAAACTCAGGACTGTGCACTTGCCAGTCAGGCGCTGTGCCACTGAACTGTATTCTGGCCAGTTTTTTGTTTAACAGGAAAATGATGGCCTTAGTGTGGAGCTGTCCGAATGCTTGCTGTTGGATCCCAGCAAGGGACTTGACACCTTTGTAAGTGTCCAGAGACTTAGCTCAGTGGCAAAGCACTTGCCTGGCATGCACAAGGCCCTAAATTCCATCCCTAGCACTGGGAAAATGTGTTATTCTGGAGTAATTACACATTCATAGGAAGCTGCCAAGGAAAGGAAAGGATGCCGAGTGGCCTTGGGACCTTGTCACGAGATGCTGTGGTTCATGTGTGTACGTGCGCTCTCTGTCAATCCTGCAGATTACTCGGGTCAAGGAGTTGACCAGCTGCAGAATGTGATCAACACCATCAAAACCAACCCTGACGACAGAAGGATCATCATGTGTGCCTGGAACCCGAAAGGTGAGGCAAGCCCCTCTGTGTGGTTAGCGCAAGGGAAGCGTGTGCAGTCGGCTCCCTGGGCCCCACCCCAGGGGGGCCCCACCCGAGGAGGGCCCCAGCCACGCAGTCGTAGTGTGGCCTGTGTCTGTCACACTTGCTGCTTTTTACCCTCAGACTATGGGTTGGACCCAGGTGATCCCACTCTGCATTTATACTCATTAAATTGCCTAGGAAAACGCACACATGAGCCTAACATTTTAAGCCAGGCATTAGTGACTTGCACAACCTGTAGTCCCAGCATTCTCGAGGCAGGAGGATCACTGAGTGTGAAGCCAGCCTAGATTACTTCGTGAGACCCTATCTCAAAAAGATTTAACATTTTCATTTGGACAGATGAATTTTCAAGTCACATGTACCTATTTATTATTGCTATTCTTTTTCTTTCTTTTTTTGGTGTTAGTAGAAATCAAACCCACAGGGTCTCTACCACTGAGCTACATGCTCAGTTCTTTAATTTTTAGCTACATTTACTGAGTGGTCTGGGCTTGGCTTGAACTTGGAATCCTCCTGTCTCAGCCTCCCGCAGTGTTGGGATTACAGGCATGGACCATCATCCCCAGTTCGTTCTTAGCAACTGTTTTGTAAAGCGAAGCCCTGCCAGGGATGGTGTCTTACTTAGTTTCCTCCTTACTGAGACAAAAATACCTAATACCCAAAGCTAAAGGGAAAAAAGTTTATTTACATAGTTTGTGGAGGTTTCGGTGCCTTAAGCACCTGGCTCCCAGGCAGGGTAGATGGCAGAAGAGAAACAGTTCTTGGCAGGCAGAGGAATAGCAGAGCGACAAGGGACAACTGCAGCTCTTCCCCTTATATCTTGCTGGGGGACTTAGGGCAGGAAGCATTCACCCTCCACCCTCATGCCCTGGATCCTAGCACTGCACTGTGAATTAGTCCCAGTGTCACACACACTAGATCCAGCTGTCTCTGAACCCCTCCTATGACTGCATGAGGCTGGGTCAACAACTAGACCGCAGCCATAGCAGGGTAGTAAGCACCCAGAGTGGGACATTTGCATCTGAAATAGAGATTGTCCCATAGGAGTGTGCCTGGGATGCCAGTTTCTGTGAACGAAATAGTTCCTCCTGTATTTGGTGGCACAGATACTGACTTTCAGCTTGAATGGAGGAGCATCACTTTGTCCCTCCCTGTACATCCACAGAAATCTTAGGCAGAAGGCTGATGACAGGTCCCATCCATTCTGCAACACTGCTGCAGGGTGTGGCAGGTCTGACCGCATGCAAGTCGTGGGCGTTGCCACAGCTGGCGCCTCTTGCGTGGTCCCTGCCTCTGGTGGCCTCTGTCTCCATCCCGTCGGCCTTGCTCGCAGCTGTGCCTTCATCGCCGGCCCCTGCCTCCGCAGATCTCCCTCTGATGGCGCTGCCTCCCTGCCACGCCCTGTGCCAGTTCTACGTGGTGAATGGGGAGCTGTCCTGCCAGCTGTACCAGCGGTCAGGGGACATGGGCCTGGGCGTGCCCTTCAACATCGCCAGCTATGCGCTGCTCACCTACATGGTCGCGCACGTCACGGGCCTGAAGGTGGGTTGCATTTGGCCCAGAGAGGGTGGCCCTGCCTGTCCGCACCTTGCGCCTTGGAGTCTTGGTAAACTTTGCTCCAAGCAACACTGGTTAAATCTTTAGTTTTCTGCAAAGTCTGTTGTCATACACTGTATGATACGCTTTAAAGCAACTGAAACTAAGCCAGGGCGTGGTGGTGCACACCTGCAGTCCCTGCACCTGGGAGGCAGAGGCGGGAGGGTCCCAGTGAGCCCGAGGCCAGCCTGTACTGCACAATGAGACCCTGTGTCAGGAGGAAGGAAGGAACTGAAGCTCATCCCTCATTCCATGTCCCACGCTCTTTAGCCAGGAGACTTCGTGCACACTTTGGGAGATGCACATATCTACCTGAATCACATCGAGCCGCTGAAGACTCAGGTGAGCATTCGCTCTTTTCTCCTCTTTTGAGCTTGGTCCTTTCTGTTGGTTAAAAAGTGGCCATGGGCAGTATCCTTTCCGTCACACTCACTCTGGGCACGGATAAACTCAACACTTGGCCCGGCAGCCACAGGCACCTGACAGGTACTGTAAGGTACTAAGCACCAGTACCAGACAGAAAGGGTACCTTTAGGCCAGGGCATTTCGGACCTTCCCTGAGTTGGCATTTTTAACTATTATTACTTGGAGGGGAAATGAAATGCAGTATGTGCCTTAATTTTATGCTAACAGAACTTGAGCGGCCTGTCTGCCCAGTGCCTTACAGCACGTGATGTGTGGAGGGCGGAGAAATGGGAGCAGCTGGCTTCCTGATCCTCAGGGAGAGAGAGGACTTTGGCACCAAAACCCTTCGCGCCCCTTCCAGATTAGACCAGGTCTCGAGTAGGCCAGCTGCAGGCTTGTTTGGCTGCCGCCCTGCCCGTCCCTTCTTGTCGTGTTGGCTACCATGGCAGGAGGTGCTGACGCGGGTCGGCATCCTGGCTGCGTGCACCTCGAACACTGGCTCGCATCATCTCTGGGAATTGTTTAAAGATGACTGTCCTTCGTTCTCCTTTCTGCTGGGGACAGCTGGGCCAGGGATTAGGAAATTTAGGACACCATACTGTAATGTTGTGAGTTACATACAGAAAAGGACAAAAAACTATGTCCTGGTCTGTAATAAATTTGCCAGGAGTTACAATAGAGTGTAATCCTGAGCCAGGTGTGATCCACGCCTGTAATCCCAGCACTTGGAGGCTGAAGCAGGAGGATGGTGGGCTCCAGGGCAAGAAACCTCCAGAAAGCTGGGCGAGTGGCGCACGCCTGTAACCCCAGCACTCTGGGGGCTGAGGCAGGGGGACTGGTGCAAGTTTGAGGCCACCCTGGGCTACAGAGGGAGCCCAAGGCCAGTCTGTTCTGTGTATGTATAGCAAGACCCAGTCTCACAGAGAACTTAGGCCTGATGAGCCACCTGGCTCCTGATGCCATGTAGTGTCACAAGTGCCGCTCGTTCTTAGTGCAGGAAGACAAGATGGTCATGCCCCGTGATGGTGGGTAGCCATGGTCAGGGTACTCCTGAAATCCCTGCTTGCTTCCTGCAGGGATGCAGGGAATAGGATTAAAACGGGCTACATTGACTTGGCAGAGTAATGGTTGGTTTTGTTTCTAGCTTCAGCGAGAACCAAGGCCTTTCCCAAAGCTCAAAATCCTTCGAAAAGTTGAGACAATCGATGACTTCACAGCTGAAGACTTCCAGCTGGAAGGGTACAATCCCCACCCCGCCATTAAGATGGAGATGGCTGTGTAGGATGCGTCCCACGGCGCTAGGGGAAGGAAGGGCCCTGTTCAGAGCTTGAGTCTGGGTGTTCTTGTGTCTAAAAAAGGGACATGGGTGAAAAACTCTGAATTATTATTTGTTAACTTTTAAAGATACTGTTACTGCCAGGGAAAAGGTGCTGGGTTTTTTTTTTTTAATGATAAAGGAATTTAACTTTAGTAATCAAAGTGTACAACAATGCTAAGATTATGAAAACAGCAGCAAAAATTTCTATAGTAGCAAAAACAAGTGCATTCGTTTCAGCTGTGCATAGCGAAAATGCCAAAGTTCATTTTATAAAGACACTTTTCCCTCAAATCCGAACTCATACCAGTCAGTGTATAGTTTGCTTGTGAACATTTGCTGTTACATTTGTATTATATATTCCTGTAATAAAGGATTAGCTTGCATTTACCCACATTTTCTCTTGCAATTTATCTGCTCAGATCCTGCCTAAAACAGTCACCCGAATGCTCCTAAGTACACGCGCTGTGTTCTTGTTTGGCTGCTGTGGAGCATGGTAGTGTATCTACTGGAAGTGTTCACAGTGCGTTACTTCCGTCCTAGTTTTCTATGATTCATCTCCTCCTAGTAGCATTTTATCATAAAATATAATGAACATTTGAGGGGGTTTTGTGGAACCAGGGATTGAACTCAAGCCCTTGAGCTTGTCAGGCAAGTGCTTATTCTACTGAACCATCTCCTTGGCCCCTAAGTAGAGGTTTTTAAGGGTTATAAATACCTTGAGTTCTGGTGTAAATTCTGATAGGCTTAGACTGGTTAAGCAAAAGGGTGCTAAACCACTGAGGGCTCATCAGCTCCCCATGGTGTTCCGAAACTATTGTTATTTATGAGAAGCATTAAGCAGAACAAGGAATTGCTCTAACAAATTATACACTGTGTTGCCGATTTTCTGAGTAATTTAATGACCAGGAACCAGCCCTTGGTAGAAATCATGTTAAGAATATCTTCCTAGACTTTGGACTAGATGAGTCTTAGGTTTGAGGGGTTAAATTGAATATGTGTTGATTTGTTAAAAGAATCAATGATGAGGGGCCGGGGAGATGGGTCAGTGGAATAAGCAATTCCCTAGCAAGTGCAAGGGTCTGAGTTCAATCCCCGGTTCCGCCAAAAAAAAAAAAAAAGAAAGAATCAGTGATGAAGCTGATTGATTCCTGAGGTTAATGGGACTTTCAGCTGAACTTGATCAGTAGCAGGAGATTTTTCTTCTACTTTTATAAAACTAGCCAGGAAGAAAAGGTAGTAGGTAATGAAGAGGCAGTCATAGGGCTGAATGCTTCGTTTTCTTGAGCAGCGAGGAGTTTCTTCCAGACTTCGCCATCTGGATAGTTGTGCTTCTCTACAGAATCCTCCCTCATTTCTGTCGAGTAGCCTGCGTCCTGGCAAAAAATAAAGCAAGTGGTGCTTATTCCCCCCGGAACAAGGCCATGCGTAGTACATGTTGCTGGTTACATGAAGCGCGCAAGCGTGTCCAAGGGCCCTGGGCCTGGCTCACCTTCGGAGGCATGTAGGAAGCCTGCTTGATGTGCACAGGGTACTTGAAGTGCTCGTGCAGGTGGTCCACGTATTCACACATCCTAGGAGAAGCAACGGCACCTAGAGTCAGTAACCCAGGAGCTGCTAACCGCTAGAGCTGACGGGGGCCATGTGCGGTTCCACGCGTTTCTGCGAGAAGCCCTTGACTTCCACCTCAGGTGCTGAGCATCTGGAAGAGCAGTGGGACTGGCTGAGGAGAAGTGAGCCGTGCAGTCCCTTGCAGTGCAGGGGCTTGAGGTCCCCCAGAGGCATCAAATCGGGCTCCAGGAATGTTGGGTCAGCCTTGCCTGGCCAGGGTGATAAGACATTGAGTGGCCTCGTGAAGTTCCTTCTAGAGGCACAGGTGACAGGCTAACTGCCCAATGCTGGGGCTACACAGAGAAGCTGATAAGTGAGTTGTGTGGTTTCTGTGGGCCCAAGTAGTGAGCCATGAGCTGTGGTGTCATCTGTGAAGGGGGGAGCAGAAGACCCAGCCACAGGGGACAGGACAGTTGGGCATTGAAAAAAGGCAAGACATGTCCCAAGGTGACAAACTTCAGGACTGATGTGTGACAGCAAGCCCTGTTGAGGCACTAGTGTTTGGGTGTCAAGTACCAGAGACATCGTGCAGTGTGGGGGGACGACCCTCTTTCCCACCTTGAAACCTGCAGGCTTTTCCCCCATCAGAATCACTAATCTTGAAGGCAGGAACTGCGGGCAAGAGAGTGCCCTGCAGCTTTCCATGCTAGAGTCTGAGTGCTCACTGGGAGGGGAGAGGACAGTGATCCAGTCTCCAGCTTCATCTTCAGATGTGCACCCAAGTTTAGACTTCCGTAAGGTTGACCTGTGGCGGCCCTGGATTCCTTCTTTCGCATCTGATTCGTAGTACGACATCTGGGCAGAGTGAAGGGTCTTACTACCACCCTAAGGAAAAACCACTGCAGCTAATCCTCTGGGTGCCCTGACAGAGCCTTCTCCTCAGGAGGGGGGCTGAATCTGGCTTTGCCTTTCCCGTGCATGTCTGGTTCTTGCTGTACATTTGGAATGAGACATTTTTAATTCCAGGACAAAAGAAGGCATAACAAACTAGGTTCGATGGCGCAGGCATGTAATCCCCGCCAAGGAGTGAGGGAGGATCCCTGTGAGTTCGAGGCCAGCCTGAGCTGCATACTGACTTCAAGGCCACTCTGCACAGCAAGACCCTGTTCCAAAAACAAAACAAAACCAAAGGCATGCGTAATAAGCAAAGCCAGACATGCAGGGGATGGGAAGGAAGTCTGTGCCAGGGTAAAGGTCCCAGGGCTGCTGAGAAGATGGAAATAAAGGCATGCCAAGTGGTGGAAGACTAGCTCAGGACGAGGAGACGCCATGGAGAGCACATATGTGAGCAACGGGCGGCCTCGGGAAGGCACACAATAGAGCCAGTGGAGGGAAAAGTTCTGGGTGCAAATCCAACCCCAGTGCACAGGCTTCCCAGCTTCTGGAAGGAACAGTGGCTGCTCCGGCGGGCCCCATTCTTACTGCCCGTGGGGAGAAGTCAAAGCAAAAGCAACACATCTGTATGACAGACAGCAACGCTGTGCTGTTCCGCATGCAGCTGGCTTTCTCAGGGCCGGGCCGGCCCTGGCAGCAGTGCTGCGTTCTGGGCGTCTGATGGTGAAAGCAGGCCCCACAGAGCCAGCCCCGGCTGATGCTGCTACCGAAGCAGAGCAGTTAGTGCACTGACCTGTTTCGAAGGCTTGCAGAGACCGATATGTAGTCAAATATAATCAAGTGCTGCACCAGCTCGCAGAGGCCAACTCCGCCAGCGTGGGGACATACGGGAACTAGAAGGAAGACATTGCTCCTGGATGCCAAAAGCAGTGCAGGAAGAGGCGGGGAAGAACCCGATGGTTAGTGTCCACAGGTGATTCAGTCATGAATATTTAGGAGCAGAATCCCTTTGGGAAAATCACTTAAGACTCCTTGATGGGAGCCAAATGAGAGAAAGCGTTGACATAGCAGGCTACAGACTCACTGAGTGGTGAAGCCCACAGGAAGAGGGGGCCCTGGGCATCCGATGGGGGGATGCGGAGGGGGCCGTGCCCTTACTTCCAAATTTTTTGGCCATCAGTAACACTGAGAGATTCTCATTGACGCTTCCCAGTCTGCAGCTATCAATCTGGAGAAACTGCAGGGCGTTTGCTTGTAGAAGTTGTTTAAATATCACTCTGTTGTGACACTAGAAATAGAATTGAAAATGACACCAACAGAAGAGTCAGCGCTGGCCATTAGGGTCCCTGGGCCTGGCCATGTGGAGATTTTGTGCCCGCTGTCCCTCGTGCGTGGTCTCGGGACACCCAGGCCACATTTCTCCTTTGTTCTGGCTGAGCAGAGGCACCCCTGCCGGTGTGGGTGGGGACCGTGCGCTCACTGCCTTCTAGATCTGCAGATGTGACCATGAGTCAGGGACAGATCATGCCACTTCACGCAGTAAGGAGTGTCACCCGCCCTAGCACGTGGGAGGGGAGGCAGAGCATGGTGAAGAGACATGGGGAGAGCCACAAGCAGGTGGCGCGTTGACAAAACAGAACGCAGGCAGAGGGTATTGTTCCTTTTGCTGGGAAAACAATCTGTTCTGGAGCTGCTCCACTCTGCTGGTGGGCCGGCTGCAGGCTGCAGCGGGGCTTGGCAGGCACCAGCACTTCGTTTACGAGCACTGAGAGCAGACGCCATCCCATTGACCCAGTTTAGAAGCCGCTTTCTGGTGCTGTTGTGTGCCCTTGCAATGCCTTTAAATTGCTGCCTTGTGGATTCTGAGTAGATGTTTTGAAAAAAATCCCCTGCACTATATAAATGATAGGAAAAACCATCTGCTTTTGACTCTGACTTCACATGATGTACTGCTCAGTTCTTTTTTTTTTTTTTTTTTTGTACAACTGGGGATTGAACTCAGGCCCTTGAACTTGCTAGGCAAGCGCTTATTCCACTGAGCCATCTCCCCAGCCCTGCCTAGTTTTAAGGTGGTAAAAAAGACTTCCTGGCTCAAAGTGTAACCAGTGACAGTGGTTGATGTGTAGTGGTACCACAGACACGTCACTCACCTGTTCTCCGGTGGCCACGCCAATTCCTAACGGGACCAGCGCCTAGGAGAGAAAGCAGCCTACCGTTACTTTTCTAGGGTCTGAACTACAGCTCCTCATGTTAAGAATATTCACAGCTGCAAAAGGAAGTGCCACTGAACCGTGTGACAATCAAAGGCAGGCAGAAGATGCCCAGGGAAGAGGATGGGGGCTCCCTGTCCACACAGTGAGGCCAGTGCTTCTATACACGGCCAGCAGCTGCACCCTCGCAGTGACTGCTTTCTTGTGCGGTGACCAGACCTGCCTTCTTGGGCACCTGTGCAAGGCACAGTGGGCTGCTTTGTGGCTTACCAGGCACTCATGATCAATCTCTGCTTACCCCTGTGTTCCACTGTGTCCCTGACGATCCTTCTATCAATGAAGAACCTTCTAGAACCATCTAGAACTTTCTCATGCCTCTGTCACTTCCAAAACACTTTCCCTGGCCACTGCATGGGCAACAGATCTGGTGAAGTGCTGGAACCTTCACTTGGACGTGGTGACCTTGCCTGGCCCTGGGAATCCATGTCCATCACGTGCTACCTGGGCCCCAGGCTGCCCTTCTCAGCCTCCACCGGCTGTACCTCCACAGTTGCCCATCTGAGGCTTCTTGGGTGTCTGCCTGGTTTTCCTTTCATTTCCCAGGGACGTACTTGGAGCCCTCGCTGCCTGCCAGGTGCTGCACAAAGCATGAATGTGTGTGATTCCTGGTCACAGCCTGGCAGGAGAGGAGCCCTGGGCATCTCTTACAGAAGGGGGAACCGCATAAGAGCACCTCCCTGGTCAGATCGCAAAGCTAGAAAGTACGCAGCCGAGCTGTGTCCTCCAAGCCAGGACCAGAGCCAGAGGAGACTTCCAGGTTGCTAGCTCATGCCGACTTCTCAATGAAATAACTAAGGGCAAGGTGTTCCTGACTCAGCTCTGTGTCCTGGCTCTGGCAGGAAGTGTGGACATGGACGTGGCACATGCAGCCACCCAGGGCTGGGTTTCCTGACTGCAGAAAGTCTCTGTTTCAGCAGATGGTGCCAAAAGCACTTTTCACGCTCATATTTTGTGCTTCCTCAAATTTGTAATTTAAGGACATTTGGTTCTTTGTCTCAACAAAGAAAAAGGAGAAAAAACAAGCGGGGAGGAGACAAAAGGCAAATGTATTGAAGCCTCCTTCCCCTTTGTCCTGCCAGGGGACAGCAGCCTCCCAGCCCTGCCTCAGTTGCCCCTGCTCGCTTGTCACCTTCTCGGTGCCTGTTTCAATGCATTGGTCAGCAGCAGCAGCAGCGCCTCCTCTGGCCCAGGGACCTGCAGTGGCTGCTTCTGGGAGCAGCACCCCTGAGCCCCTATGGCCCTCAATTGTGTGTCCAGCCCACCCTGTTCTCGCCGCCTGCAGACGCGCTGTCTGGAGCTGCCTCGGCCATGGCTCACCTGTCCCTACCTCAGAGCCTCCCCCTGCAAGCAATACAAGGCCACTCTCGGTGCCTGGAGAGCCTCCCACAGGGTGCTGTTACCCCAGAACCTTAAGGAGCAAAGGAGAGCAGGCCTGGGGGGGGGCCTGACCTATGACTTCTCACCAGAGATTCCCACTTTGCAATGATTCCTTGGAAGTTTTGGCTTTTGTTTCTCTGTCTTATGTGTGCACACAATTATTATTATTATTATTTTTTTTTTTTTTTTAAGGAAGGGGTGGTTATTTTGAGACAGGAATTTACTATGTAATTCAGAGTGGCCTTGAACTCACTGTGCAGCCCTGGCTAACCTCAAACTTGAAGTGATCCTCCTGCCTCAGCCTCCTGCATGCCAGGATTACCGACATGTGCCACCCCAACTTCTATTTCAGTAAAGGTGGCTGTTGTTGTCCTACTGCTCCAGCCTATGTTCCCTCACCTGCAGCGTGGGGCTCCTCACGGTCACTCAGGTCCCCCCCAGCCTCAGACTTTGTTGTCCTGCACTCCGCACACAGTGGCCTAGCTCATTTCTGTCTTACGTATCTTGGTTTTCCTTCCCAGAGAGGCTGTGAGGTGATGGGGGCTGTCCTGAAGCAAAGGCTGCTGGTGTGTGTCTGACTTATGGTCAGTCCTCGGCTGACTGGCTGAGCAAGCTGGAGCAGAACAGGCCTGTGAGCCTTTCCTCACACCCTAGCGGGGAAAAGGTTCATAGCCACAAAAGGGGCAGCAGCATTGACCACTGGCTGGACCTGTGCCTCGGGAATGGCAAGGCTTAGGACAGCATCTGTGTGGGCAGAGGCTCGTGGACATGGACTCAGGATGGCCACGTTGGGCCATCCTTGAATTCTGTACTGGGCCTGCCCCACTGGTATATGCATCCTGCAGCCTGTGGTTACTGTGGCTTCTTACAGAGCTTGCTCTGGGCTGAGGTTCAGAACCCTAGGAGTTGGTCTGGTACAAATGAACCAGGTGACATCGCAGCTTTGTACATCAGGACCGTAAGCTGAGGCAATGGGAGACTCTCTCCGCCCTGCCTTCCTGCCTCCTTCCCTCCCTGGAAGAGGCTCCTTAGATGCTCTGACATTTGTTCACAACCCAAAGGGGAGAGGGGCCAGGGAGATGGCTCAGTAGAATAAGCGCTTGCCTGGCAAGTGCTAGGGCCTGAGTTCAATCCCCAGTACCGCAAAAAAAAATAAAATAAATTTTAAAAAGGTGGGGGAGGGAGGCTAACTCTAGTTAGTACAAATCTGTCCCAAGAGCTCATGGGAAACAGGCGGCTTTATTTCTGGAAAGCCTGGCTCTGCCAAGAGCTAAGCACGCCTTTGGAGCCATGCAGAGGAGTCTACACTATTTCATTCCAGGTGATCTGAGTACAAGCGCACCTGAATTTACAGTGGCTTTATGTCCTGATAACCCCCTCAGCTGACAAGGTAATAAGAGAATGCATTTAACACCTAATCTACCAAACATCACAGCTGAGCCACACAGGGCCCTGCAAGCTGTTCCTGGAAAGCTTGATGCTGACTGGCAGCTGCTGCTGTCCAGTGCTGCAAGATTATTGTTCTGCATATTGCCTGAGAAAAAGCCACAATCAAAATATGAAGCATAGGACTGGCCAAATAACTCAACAGATTAAAGCACCTGCAAACAGGCACAGGGGCCGGGGGTTCAATCCCTAGGCCTGCCATGCCGGTCCTGTCCCCAGGGTGCGCTGAGATGGCCATTGAGACTGGGCATGGTGGCACACACCTGTAATCCCAGCTCTTGGGAGGCTGTAAACAGGAGAATCACTACAATTCTGATCTAGTAGTGAGACCCTGAACACCCTGTAGACCCTTCCTTAAAAATAAAGTTAAATAAAAAAAATTAAAAAAAAAAACAACGAATCATGCTTTCTACTGAATGCCTGTTACCCTGGTACTGTTACAAAGTAGAAATGTTTTACCTTGAGCCACTGTGACTGAGAGACCATATATATTCAAATATCTGTCGCATTTCCATACTTAAAAAGCATGGGAAGCCTGTCTGTTAAGAGTCTGGTAGCCTTGCACCTTTTAGTGACTTACTGATCTACAACAGGCAGAAGTGCAGGGAGGATAGGACACCAGGTCTACAGCCCCTTACCTGTCACACATTACAGTGACTGACGTCGGGTTTTTCCAGAACCCAAAAGGGGGAGGCTAACTCTGCATCCTTGGGAAATGTGCAAGGGAGCAAGTGAGGCCATGCTAGGGTCTGTCTAACCCCTTGGAAACACTAAATCCAAGAGTCAGTGGCCAGGATGGCACAGGCAGCGGTCGGCCTACCTTAGAGATGGCAGCATGGCCCAGGATGTCATCAGGAGACGTGGGCTCCTCGATCCACAGCGGCTTGAACTCTGCCAGCCTTGACATCCATTCCACTGCCTCAGGCACGTCCCAGCGCTGGTTGGCATCCAACATCTGCAGGGGGAGCCCTACCCGGTGAGAATGGCCCAAGGCAGACTGCTGTGCAGCCCACAGCCCCAATGAAAGGAGCTCTCAGGTACACATCTTGTGGCCCTAGCTCTGTTTGTAGGACCGTTTTATCTCATGCTCAGTCACATGCAGTTAACACTGAGTTTGGCTCCCCATGTGTCTGGCACATTAATGAACAGCTCCCATTAATGAAGGGCCTGCTCTCCTAGGTGCCGGGCAGGTTTTGTTCCATTTACTGCTTATAAGAACTCCATGAAAAAGGCTGTATTAGTCCGTTTCACAGATAAAAGACACAGAGAGAACTTGCTCAGGCCAGTAAGTCAGGCCAGTAGAGAGCTTAAGCCCAGCTCTTGAGCCTCCACACCCTGGCTCTGCCTGCTGCCATCCGGCCAGAAAGCCAGGTGCTGGAGCGCGGAGCCTGGGAGGGGGCCTCCCACCCCTGTATCGTCAACCTCACGACACCTGAGCTGACAGACGAGAAACAAGCAGCTGTGGAAAGTGCTGCGTGGTTAGCGCGCCCTCCCCGGACTCTAAGAACACCAAGATGGGAGCCTGGGACCACATTTTATCATCAGTTATTTGGAAGAGAATGACCTCATGAAACAAAAGCAGCACTAACTCATGTATAAATAATGGGATTTCAGTGCTATGGCAGGACTCCAAACATGAGTTTTAATTTATGAAGTCGCTTCTAAAGCTTCGTAAATACATCTGATTGCAACTTTTTGTTTCTTAGTATTGGGGACTGAACTCAGGGCCTTAGAATGGAGCTATATCCTCGGCCCTTTTTATTTATTTATTTATTTATTTATTTATTGACAAAGTCTTGCTAAGTTGCCCAGGTTGGACTCAAATTTGTCATCTTCCTGCTTCATCCTCCCAGCATGTTGGCCTTACAGGTAGGCACCACCACACCCTGATTTGCTTTTCTGAAAATACCTTACACTTAATAAGAGCCATTTCACAAAAAATATGGGATCAGAAACAGCTGACCCTTAATTTTTAGCTCAGCCAGTTTCAACACTTCAACAGTGTGTCTCCCTGAACCCCACCTACCTGAAGAACCACCTGCAGAGATTAATGATTGACATGCAGGGGCACCAATGGGAGACCTGTCCACTCAGGCGCAGTGTGAGCAAGGGCCCAGCTCTCCCCACCCCAGCTTATTTAACTAGTTCTGCAGAATTAAAAAACGAAAAAGTGTTAGACTCCATGTGCTCCGTTTTGTTCTACATTCTCCTACTGTAAGACCACAGAGCCATATATCATCTGACAAAAAGTTGTAAAAAGTCCCCCAGTTTTTAAGATCTTGCCTGAAATAAGTTACATTTTGGGCCTGAATGGAGACTTCCTGCCAGGTCACCATTTCTTAGCAGCATGTGAAGATACTTACCAAAGTCTTCTCGGGTCCAATCATGTCTCTCACGAGGCGGCATCTGCGCACGTCGTCCTGGAGGTCGGCGCCAACCTTCACTTTGAACCTAGAAGCAGATTTGGTCAGCTAGTTTAACTTTGTCCTCAAGAGTTGGCAGAAACGACCGTCTCTGTCAATGATTCACGGACCACGTGTATCAGTGACCTCTGGCTCTTTCCCGATCAATGTTAGCCAAGTCCCTTGCCCAAAACCTGCTCACTGCAGCTCTGCTCTACCGGGACAGTGGCTGTCAATCCCTGTGGCCGCACAGCCAGGCAAAGGTCAGAGCTTTAGTTCAGTGAATGGGGCCTTTGCTGTCTTAAGGAATTAATGACAAGGAGGCCCCAGGCAGGACTGATGGGACAGAGGTGCAGACAGGGTGCTGAGCCCTAAATGGGAAGAGACTCACGTAAGCGCCAGCTCCCTATTTTATAGCCTGGTGTGTAGAGGGCCTGCTTAAGAGCCCAGAGGAGGAAAGCCCAGGGTGCCCCATTCCCATGTGCAGGGGCCTATGGCTAGGAGTAGAACGGACCTGGCTGCATACCAAGGACAGTAGAGGACAGCTGAGGCCCCTGCCAAGGTCTCTTCCTACCACGAGTGCCACAGCAGGGAGTGGCCAAACCTAGCTTCCTGTCCCACTGTGCTCTGCCAGGTGGCCACGGCACAGGCTCTGAGCGTGGGCAGTCACGTGGCTGTGTGCTCAGTGTTGATCACATACATGATGTGATCAAAAAACCAAGATAAATATGTTAAAAAGTTATTCCAGTAAAAGCTTCAGTGCTCTGAATCCCCACACTACTCCCACTTGCCTTGAACACACCTATTCCATTCTCTGAAATGGCTCTGGAGTCCTCGCTCATCAGTGTCTTTGGTTGTGCTTTCCTGGCTGCCTCAATGTCCCGAATCAACTCAAAACACTTCTCTTTGGTGGGCATTTGGCTTTGGGGAACAGCCAGGAGCTATGTGGTGGCAGATAGACCATCACAATGTTTTTACCATCCTGCCTTCCTGTTGGATGGCAGGGGGCGTTGCTGGCCTTTTGGATGCCTTTTAATTCCTGGCTCTCTTCCGCACGCTGCTAAGTGGGAAGGTCAAGTCACCACACAAGCACTTACCTGGTCCAGCCATCCTGCAGGGCTGCCACACAGAGCTGTGGGGAAAAGGTGTGCCTGTTGTTGAGTTTGCATTAACAGCACACGTCACACACCACACCTGCCCCCTCTGGATGGGACCTCAGTCATGTCTGCTTGGGTGCCACAAACATTATGGTCATAGCACAAACCAGAGAAACCACTATGTATTGTTGAAATCCAGGGAAGACTAGCTTGGCCAATAGCATCGCTCTTTCTACACGCAGGGTGACTTTCTTCATCATCTCCATGGGAACCATTCCTTTCAGTGTTTGTCACAACATTCTTGGAAGGGGTATGCAGCACGAGTGGCCCTATTTTTGGTTTTTCCTTTTGAGGCAAGGTCTCACTATGCAGTGCAGGCTGGCCTTGACTTTGCAGCGATCCTTCCGCCTCAGCCTCCCAAGTTCTCGGATTATAGGCACGTGCCACCATGCTCAGCTGTGTCCCTGGTTTTAAATTAGCGCTTTCTGTGGCACAGAGAACTAGTGGATGGAAGAGTAGCAGGCAGCAGGCAGCCTCTGTGATTCCATCTCTGTCTCAATTCTACTTAAAAATGATGAGAAAGAATGATAAATGAGCCCTGCTGGCTGCCATATGCCTTCTAGAGAGGCGAGGATTCAAGGGTGAGTTTCCATGGTTAACGATGTCATCAACCGGCCTACTTAAGGACGCCCCATAAAACTCCACAAAGACTAAGTCTAGAGAGTTCCAGGGCTGGTGGATGTGTTGGGGTACCCAGCGCCCAGAGAGGGGACAGAGGCTCCTGTCATCTCCATGTGGCTCTGCCTGAGTACAGCCTTTGCAGCACTCAGTGTCATAAGTAAACATTTCCCTGAGCTCCACAATCCAGCAAAGGATCAAACCCAAGGGAGCACGGATGGGAGCCACTTCAGGCGAGCAGCCCGGAAACACATGACAGCTTGGCTGTACATGACTGGAGGCTGAAGCGGGGTGTCCTGGGAGGTGAGTCCTGATGCTGCGGTCTGAGGCCAACCCCAGGCAGATCCTGCTGCGGGGAACTGCAGGATGCTGACAGCGCGCCCAGGACCTTTTGTGGAAACCCACGCATCTGTGTCAGAAGTGGCCTACGCCTGTAGCACTGTGAGCCTGGAAGGAAAATCAGTTTTCTGTCTGCACAAAATCCAGGTTTACAGCCCACCTGCTTCAGCAAGTCATCCGGGTACCCGAGCCAGGCGCATGACGTGGTATAGGCAGGGTAACCATGTGTCAGCATTTGCTCTTCTGGAAAATACAAGACTTGACTTATGTACAAGACTTAACCCCGAGGCGGGGTGGTAGTGGCAGTGGTGGTGCAGTTTGAGACAGAGTGGCTGTGTAGCTCAGGTCAGAACTCACTATGTAGCCCAGGCTGGCCTCCCTCTTGACATGATCCTCCTGCCTCAGGCTCTGAGTACTAGGGTTACCAGTGTGTACCACCAGGCCTGGCAACACCCAACCTTTTGTGCTTTCCAGGAACTCTGGAATTAGAACTGCCTATAACTAAGCTTCTGCCCACAGACACTGGCTGTTCTGCTGGGAGGAGCTTCTCACACGCATACACCACTGGCCCAGCCCCCTGGGCTGTCATGGTGACCAGGTACATTCTGAGGGCCCCATGGTGCAACCCTAGAGCCAAGCTTCCTGGGAGCAGTGGCTGAAATGACCCTGCAGCCAGGTCTCCCCAGGTGGCTTCTTTGCCGACCCACACAACTGGCTGACTGCGCAGCTGCTTGGTACAAGGCATTGAGAGGGACTGTGTACCTGCAGGGCAGAGCACTCAACAGTGGACAACAACAGTGGAGGGCAATTTCCTCCCAACCCACCTCTTTCTTTTTTACCAACTTGACCTTTCTGCAGTATTTCTGTAAAACAAAAACAAAACTTGTCATCACTCTCTCACCCAGCAGAGCCCATGGCTTCCTGTCCCATGCAGCGTGCCTCACCCAGGGCATCCTGCTCAGTCAGGGCGTCCGTGATGTACCGGAAGTCAATGCAGGATACCAGTGTCCTGGGGTCCTGACAGTGGGACAGGAGAGAACAAGCCTGGTCAGTGTGCAGGCTGATTATGGATCTAAGAAGCTGCTTACCCTAACCTGCAGGAATCATGTGGGCTTTGGGGATGTGAAATGGTCTGGTCCTGTCATTCCTTGGCATGGCGTCTTTTTAAAGCTCACTGCTAGCCCCTGACAAAGCCTAAGGTCCCTCCCCTGTCCCTCCGCTCCCTGTCCCCTGCCCTATTCTTTCTGATCAACACAGCTTCTGGGCCAGAGGATCTGGCAGGGCGAATACTCAGGACAAGAAGGCAAGCAAACACAACACCTGGGTTCCCTCTCCACATTGCTCTGCCTCAAGGGTGACCAGTGACCTCTGCAGGGCTGGGAATGGTCCTGGAGGAGCTCACTACAGAGAACAGGAGGTGGCTCTCAAAGCCAAGGTGCCAGGGCCACCCCCACACTGCCTCCGCTGTGTCTGAGAGCAGATGCGACAGGCTGTCTTCCCTGTCCCACAGGAGGAGCAAGGCCACCTGACCCAACCTCCCCAAGGCCTTTGCCTGTTGGCTTTTCCTTCATTTTGCTGCCATAAAGCAGCAGGGCCTCTGTGTGTGGACAGCAGGCATCACCTGGGCAGTAGCAGCTCTTGGGCACAGCTAATGAGCCCAATCCACAGCTGGTTGTGAGCTGTGAGGTTCAGACCCGAAGCCAGGTCTGCTAGCTCTGAACGCTGCGCCCCTTTCACTCAGCCAACGTGTTTTCCTGCTCAGCAGCAAGATGCTGGTCCCTGCTATAAATAGGCCAGGGAGAAAGAAAAGAGCCAAGAGCATGTCTTTGGAATTCGGTGTCAAGTCCCTGCCTTGCTTGAACTGCAAAGTGGAGACATCAGGATCCATGTGGTCTTGCTCTGGCCAGCAGAGTGACCAAATGATGTCTTAAGAGTAAAATCTATTATGAGTTCAGTCTACACAGTGAGACTCCGTACGCCCTGTACACCCTGTACTAAATACAAAAACAATTGATATGACATTAGAAATGGTGCACATTTTGAAGACCAAGATGACAAGTATTCAAGCATCGTTTTGTATTACACATTGCTGTCCTCGATGTAGTTGCTCAGATCAGATATCAACGTGCAATTAGTCAAGGTGAAAATTCTACACATTAACTGCTATTTTCAAAAAACTGATGGAAATTTTTAGTACAATCATCTCAGCCATCATATATATATATATATGCATGTTTTCCCCCCTGCCTTTTTTCCTATCTTCTCTTATTTCTTTTGTTTTCATTGTTTTAGTTTTTTAATACAATGGAGTACTACTCAGCCATGAAGAAGAGTCAACTTGAGACGTTTCTAGGTAAGTGGGTGCACCTTGAAACCATACCCATAAGTGAAATAAATCAGGCACACATGTATAAACATTGCATGGTTTCTCTGGTGTGAGAAGCTGAAAGAGTAAATGAGGACAAAAATGTACAATAAATGCTGTGAAATAGGAAGAAATTGTCCAAAAGGAAGGAGGAACTAGGGAGAAGGGAGGAAAAAAGGAAGGGAAAAGAAAAATGAAAAAAGAAGGATAAAAATGGTAACAAAATTTTGTAAATGGGTAGGAAGGAGGGGTTGGAAGGAGGGGAGGGGACTAACAAGAAAGAGGACTCAAATATATCATGGACAAGTACAACTTCTTTATGATAAATATGATCTTTATGTATATCTAAACTGTACCAATAAACTTAAAAGAAAAAAAAAGAGTACAATCTTGCTTTTCGGAGTTTATGAAGTTCTGTTTGCAGTGGGTCTTCAGTTCTGTAAGGTACCCAGGGGTCCTGACGACTATCTTGGCATCCTCAGGCAGTGGAAGCCGAGCATTTGCATCTCGAGTCTGGTGCAATGGGACGTCGGGACCTGCGCTCCCTCCCACACCACGCAGCCTGATGGGCAGAGCTGTCACTGGATGTCACCCAGGGACTGTGGCATTTTCTTGGGGTTTGTTTTATCATCAGTAAACAGCAGATAGTCTGCAGCAGATTTACTGATTATCCAAAGACAAATAACCCAGGAAATCCATCTCATTAGACGCAGCTATAAATCAGCACGGCAGCACAAGGCAGTAATCCCAGCACGTGGGACGCTGAGGTAGGAGGACCGCCATGAGTCTGAGGTTAGCCTGGGCTACCTAGTGAGTTCAAGGGCAACCTGAACTGCACAGCAAAACCCTGTCTTGGGCCTGGGGAGATGGCTCAGTGGAATAAGCGTTTCCCTGGCAAGCGCAAGGGTCTGAGTTCAATTCTGTTTCCATGAAAAAAGAAAAAAAAAAACCTGTCTCAAAAAGGAAAACAACAACAACAAGGAAGCAGCTGTAAGGCCAAAGGATCTACTTACCATGTCCACAAGTAGCTTCCACAGAGGCTGGAATTAAAAAAAAAAAAAAAAGATTTGTAAAGCATAAAGCACCCATTTTTGTTCTGCTAGTAAATTCGTTAGTAGTAAATCCTTGCTGTGGGACCCATCCTCCTGGGCTCCCAACCCTTCACCTTTGAGTCCACCCTCTTCCCTTTCTCCCCTCCCCAACCCACTCCAGAAACTTCCTCAGCAATGCCAAGATGTCCAGGAGAGAAAAGAATGAAGCATATTTCCTCCCAGGGAGGTACATGTATTCGTCTGAGGTCTTCAGAGCACTGCTTGCAGAGTTAGCCATGTGGCATCGGGTGGCTGGGAGCCACAGGCGGGACTCTAGCCGAGCTACCTTTCCCTCCTGCTTCGCCCACAGATCCCACACTGCATTCAGAATCGCTGCCGTCGCCAGGTGCACCACGCCTTTCTCTGGACCAATCTGGTGGGAAGCAAAGATATCCACTTCTTAGACATGAAAAGGATGCTTAGGTCTTGAAGCCTGGGAAACATTTCAAGAACTGCAAGGTAGCAATGGCAACCATTATGGTTTGTTCTAGTTGTCCCCCCAAAGGCTCATGCGGTTACAGGGCGGATTTCTATGTAAAGGTTGTGATTAATTCATGAGCCAATGCTGGGATTATAGGTGTGAGTGCTGCTGGGATTATGGGTGTGAGTGCTACACCTGCCCTGGGGCAGAAAGCCTTTATGCAGAATAAGGGAGAGAGAGAGGCCTGTTCTCTCTGCAGCTATAGGCCCAGCTTTTACCTTTCTATTTTTGCTGTTTTCTGCTGCCATGAACTGCTGCTCTCTGTCATGTGTCACTCTGCCTTGGAACCAGCTGACTATGGACTGAAACCTCCACAAAATGTGAACTAATAAACCTTTCCTTCCTTAATTTGGAGTGGTGGGTATTTTGTCCCAGCAACAAGAGAAAAGCAATGGAGACAGCAACATACCTAAAGGCCAATTTTTAAAAAAAGTTTCTAACCTGTAGAAAAGTCACAAAAATAGAAAAAAAGCCAAACTTGTTCCCTGCTTACCATTCTGTCTTTATTTCTGAATCATATGAGAGCAGAGCTGCAGATAGCATCTTCTTTACCCATAAATACTTTTGTATGTAGCTGCTAAAAGCAAGGACAAAAACAAAACTAAAAACAAAAACAAAAACAAGAACAAGGGGGGTCAGGGAGATAGCTCAGTAGAATAAGCACTTGCCTGGCAAGCATAAGGGCCTGAGTTCAATCCCCGGTTCTGCCAAAAAAAAAAAAGGACATTCTCCTCGCCACCATGAGCCCATTCAGGGGATAAAATACTGATGGACCACATTATCTAAACCATGGTCCATAACCAAATATCACCACTCCCAGTGATGGTTAAGCTTAGCTGTCCCCATGACTGGCTTGGAGACTGCTAGGGGATTTGTGGAGCCCACGTGCGGGTTAGCTGAGTCACGGAGGCATGTGGTGGGCACTCCATCTGGCTCCTGGTCCCTTCCCTCCCATGCTCTTCCTCGAATGTGCTTTCCGCCACCATGAAGGGAGCGCCCTTCCACCAGGACCTTCGTGCCTTGGAGCTGACTATGGACTGACTCCTCTGAGTCCATGAGCCGGACCACTGTTTCTTCCTTCAGGTTGTAAGCACTGGATATTTGGCCCCAGCGGTGCGAAAGCTGCCCCATACCATGTCCTGGTCACCTGTCCAGTCTATGAAGCACACCTTGCACCTAGTCATTGTGCCTCTGTAGTTTCTTTTCCTCCGAATACTTTTTCTTCTTTTTTAATGATACTGATATTTTTAAAGAGTATGGGCCACATGACTTGTGTAATGTCCCTCAATATGGGCTGCTCTAGAGTTCCTTCCTGATTAGAGCCGGGTCATAGCTATATATTTTTGACATAAATACTGTATAAATGATGATGCTCTTTTATTATCAGGGTGATTAAGTTGCAATGCTGGAGTAACGCAGAGTCCACTTGGATTCTCCACCGTGAAGTTACTCTTCTCCTTTTCTACATCACAGATGAGTCATCTGCAGATGACTCGTGTCCACTCGTTGCAGCCCTGGTGGCTTCGTGATGTCACTTCCTGGCATCAGCACTCATCTCATACCTATTGCTTTGCATTCTGCTGTAACGAGTTTTCCCTTGTTGCAATCTGTATGGACTTGTGGGTTATTTCATCCAGAATGTAATGATAAGCCACTACTCGTATGTCTATTCTGATGATTCAGCTGTCGTGGATTTGGCCAGTGGGAGCTTCCAGTAAGCAAGGCTGAACTTGGCGAGAAAGTCCTAACTGAAATCCAAGGCAGCGTGGACAGTGCACCCCTGTGTACCCTTCTCTACGCAGGGACGGACACTGGTCAGCGAGGAAAGGACAGACTGGGCCTCAGGAGTCAAGGACAGAGTCCAGATGCCTGGATTCCTCCAGCTCTTAGCATCCTGCTTCTGGACCTCCCTCGGGCACGCTCCACCCTCAGGGCTCGGCACCAGCCCACTCCCAGAAGGCACCGGGGTCCTCACTGCAACTCCGCTCTCAGGCTTTTCTCCTAATGGCCTCCTCCCAAGGCAGCAGTGCTACTCACATCCTCCTTCCCTGGAAGTTTTCTGCTCAGCCCTTTACTTGCAACCTTTCCCAACCCAGGGAGAAGGCAGGGAGGCACCAAAGAGCTGAAAGAACTCAGATGCGAACACGCCCAGGCTCAGCCTCGCTGCTAGGGGCCAGTGACCCCACACTGCCAATTATCTGAGGGGCTTCAGCTCTAACTCATCTGAATGAAATATTTTATTTTAAAATTACAAACCCAGGGCCAGCCAAATAGCTCAGTGGATTAAAGCTCCTGCAAGCAGGTGGTGCCAGCCCCACCCTACCCCCGGGGGCCTGCTGAGATGACAGTTGAGACTGTGGTGGCACGCGCCCTTGTAATCCCAGCTCTTGGGAGGCTGTAAACAGACAGATCACTTGAACACCCTGTACAAGTACTTCCCTACAATACAAAATAAATACAAAAAATAAAATAAAATTGCAAACCCATCTCTGTGTTCACACAGGACACCTCAGACCTTAGTAACACCACATATAAAGGTTCCTTATGAATCAGCACCCAGAGCGACCAGGAATATAGCTTATCAGCATAAATGCCTGCCTGGCAAGGGCAAGGTCCTGAGTTCAATCCCTGATACCAAAAATAAATAAAACAGCGCCCTTACCCATCGGAGCTGCCCGTCGCTGGTGAGCTGCCTGTAGAAGCCTCGGAAGTTGCCAACGATGTCCCTGAGGTCCTTGTGAAGCACATGGTGGGCGAGAGCATTCACAGCACAGATGACTATTAGAGAAGGATGGGATTGGTATTTTATTTTTTATGTATTTGGTATTGGTACAGGATCTCACCACACAGCTCAGACTCATAGTGATCCTCTTGTTTTCACCCTCCACAGTGCTGGTTTTACAGGTGTGCGTCACCATGCCCAGTCTCAGTGGCTGGCTCTGCAAGCCCAGAGGTGGGGCTGGCTAGGCATGAGGTACCAGCGATCGAACTCCAGTCCCTGTGCTTGCCTAAGTAGCCACTTAGTCCACTGAGCTAGCTCGCCAGAAAAAAAAAAACAAAACAAAACATGAAAACACACAAACTAATTTTTTAAAATTTAGTTACAAAGGCCAGGGCTTTGTCCAGTAGTTCCAAGTCAGTCTCTGCCCTTGCTGTAACTACCAGGCAGCAGCAGAATAGCTGAGAGTCCATAAACTGAGATAAACTTTCTGAGCAGAGCAAATGCGTTTGAACTGGTTAGCACGTGAACCACAGTTTAAATAAGCCTCCCCAATTATTTTCTTTTCCCTGTGTAAAGTGTTTGGATGATCAAAGCAAAGCAAAATCTTGCTCATTCAGTGTTTTTAAGAATAAGAATACTCTGACTTACAGATTTTTTTCAAAAAAAGTCATTTCATTATTAACAAATATAGAAAACATCTTGAACTCACAACATCACATAGTATTAAAGATGAAATGAAGCAAGGTGTGTCATTCTAATCAGGAGGCTGAGGTAGGGGATCACAGTGTTTGAGGCCAGCCTGGGCTGCATAGCAAGTTCAGGACCAGCCTAAGCTACATAGCAATCCTCTGCTTCAAAAAATAAAAAGAATAAAAAATACGAAAAAAGGGAAGACTTTTTAAAATAGCATAATGCTTATAAAATGTGCTAAAGTACATGAAAGTAGTCTTCATTAACACTGAGCTTCCTGCCAGGTGTGGCGGTGCACGTCTATAATCCTGCACTCAGGAGGCTGAGGCAGGAGGAATGTTGCGAGTTTGAGGCCAGCCTTGTTTACCTAGTGAGCATAATCCTGGCCTACACTACACAGCAAGACCCTGTCTCAAACAACAACAACAAAACCCCAAATACACAAAATGCGCTGCACTTCTTACTACTGACTTAGGATGTTGCAATTACATTTCCCATAAGTAGCTTGAGGGCTGAGTCAGCACTACCATCAGCGGTTCCTTTTGGTGCCTTGAGACTTCATTGCACTGCTTAAAATGAAAAGGGGTGGGGTACAACGGGGTTCAGAGGTCGTCCATCCTGTGTGAGGCCTTGGGGTCCATCACCAGCGCCGACTGTCTGTCTGTCTGTCTGTCTGTCTGTCTGTCTGTCTGTCTCTCTCTCTCTCTCTCTCTCTCATACACACACACAATGAAGAATAAGTAAAGAAACAAATTGTATGGGAAAGACTCTTCCAGTCTTTGCTCATTCTAGAAAACATTTAATATACATATAAATGACCGAAGTAATCAAACCAAGTTAGCTCCAAAGGCATTTCTTTATTTTCAAATATTTTGATAAACATGTTGCTTGGTGTTATACTGCCTCAAGCGCAGAAACTCTAAGTTATTTAATTGGATGGCTAATAGGGCACAGTTTTGTTGTCCATCAGATGCAGCGAGGAAGACATTCTCTGGATTGGCTTGAGTATCTGGGTATGGAACCACAGCTCCGTGAGGCCGCTTTGTTTCAGCAGGCACTTAAACACCTGAGCTAATGGGCAGCCCCCCCCCCAGCCCCTCGGGCCGCCCCCCACCACTCCGCAGTGCCCCCCCCCCCCCCCCCCCCCAGGAGGACATTCTGAAGTGGTACCACATGCTCACGGGCACGCCTGGCCTTGTGGTTGTGGACGGATGTAGTATTTGGGGCTGAAGTAGCCATTTGGGGTTCTTTCCTTTTTTGATGGGTGCATCTATCATTGTAGCTCAGATATTCCCTGAAATTGTTTGTTTTGAGATAGGGTTTTGCTGTGTGGTGCAGACTGACTGAACTCACTGTGTAGCCTAGGCTGGCCTCAAACTTGCAGCAATCCTCCTGCCTCAGCCTTCCAAGGGCTGGGGCTGTGGGCATGCGCCACCGTGCCTTGCCTCACACTGTGCCTCGCCTCACTCCCTAGGATTGCAAGAAGAGTATCTGCTTCCTGTCTTGATGGTTGATGCTCTTAGATTTTAAAAGAATGTGAGTCAGTGACTCAGGCTGAGGTATTATAGCAGTATCTGCACTAAATCCTGTTCTCATGGGCTTACACTGCTGCTGTGTCTTAGTTACTTTTCTTGTTACTGAGACAAAGCAAGCTATGACATGAATACTTAAAAAGCTACCTTTTGGGGTCGGTTTAAAACTTCTTCCTTCCTCGTATTTTTCCCTTTAACACCAAAGTTAAAGGGGAAAAGGTTTATCCAGCTCACAATTTGTAGAGGTTTCAGTCCATAATCAGCTGGCTCCGAGGCACAGTGGCTTGGCAGAAGGGAGTCGCAGAGGGGAGCAGTTCATGGTGCCCACACTGCAGAAAAAGCAGCAAGGGGCATGAGCACATCTTTCTGTTCCTTTTGTCTTTTCCAGGCTGCTCAGGGCGGGCAGTGCTCACACCCTTAATTCTAGTGCCCTTGAGCCTAGCACTGTGCCATGAATCAGCCCCAGCATCCACACACTAGATCCAGCTACCTCTGAAAAAGCCCCACCTATGCTCGCATGGGGCTTTGGGGGCCTCTAGACCCAGCCAGAGCAGCGCGTGAATCACTGACTAAAGCAGCCCGTGGTTTGTATCACAGTAACAAAGGCATCTAACCAGAAGCTAGGGTGATCTCATCTTTTCTAGCCTAAAGGATGAATAACGTGGATTTTCCTTGCTCCACAAAAAGACGCTGCAGGGAGTTAATGGAAATCTGCTGCTTTTGATAGACATCTGGGTTGTGGTGATCTGACTCCAGGGCAGAGAAATTCAGGCCTGCATGTAGGATGGGATGGGTGGGAAGTCATCTGGAAAAACTTGGCCCTTGCGAGCCAGCTTCTTGCTGACTGAACCCAAGGGTTTTTTGCTGGGGCCCTGAATCTCCAGGGTCCCCTGCCCTCAAAGGACCTTCAGTGAAGCTGTGGGCATTGGCATTCAAGTGGTGGCACCAACTCTGTGTGTGTGTGTGTGTGTGTGTGTGTGTGTGTGTGTTGAACCCAGGGCCTTTATGCTGAGCTATATCCAGAGATTTTTTTTTTCTTTTGAGATAAAGTCTTAAGTTGTTAGGATGTCCAAACCGCTGGAGTCAAAATCAAAATCCTTTCGCCTCAGCCTCTCAGAGTGCTTGGATTACAGGTGTGTGCCACCATGCCCAGCTGTGACATGAGCCTTTCAAAGCTACCTATTTTGGCCTGTTTTTCCCCTCTTTTATATCATTACCTTAAAAAGAAAAAACTAGCTTGGTCTACATTGCGCATGTCTGTGTGTGCTTGCTTGTCCACGCCCAGTGTGTGAATGCGGAGCCCGAGTGAGCCCGCGGTGGCCGCGTTCATCAGCTGAGGCAGAGGGGCTCACCACTGGGGCGCATGTGGCACAGATTCTGCCGCAGGCCGGACGCTGCCCCGTCAAAGCCACGAGCAGGGTGGCACTGTCCTGTAATGTAGCACTCTGGGAAGCTGAGGCAAGACGGAAGGTCGGGGGGCGAAGGGGGTGAGAAAAAGTGGGAAGGCAGGGAAGAAAGAATGAGTAAATTTAATAAAGGATCAGCTGAAAGACAAGTGGCCAACAAAAAACATCACTCTCCTCTAGACATTAGAAAACAACTTTCCTTCGTCTTTGCTCTGCCTGAAATACTGGTCAGGAAACGTGGGAGAGACCCGGATGGAGGCTGCGGAGCCGGGCGGGCCTGGAGCACTTTCCCGGCAGGTTGATCGCGGTGAATCACGTGAAACACTGCAAGCAGCAGAGGCAGAGTTCACTGGGGCTCTGTCGCGGTGCAGCCGGCAGGGGCGGGCAGAGGCCAGCTCGTTAGCCCAAGGAGCCCTACCTGAGTCCATAGGAGGTGGGCTGATCACCCCTGCCCGAGCCATCCACTGAGAGCCCCCTGACCTGCTCCCTGCTTGCTTGGTCCCTTTGTGCGCACAGTGCCGCAAAGCTCCACGCCTGGGCCCTAACAGGGTGGCTAAACCATCTCTGCCCATGAGGCTCTGCCTGCGGAGGGGAGGGCAGCGGCCTCGTGCAGCGTTCCATGCATCACCAGGGACAGGAGAGTCCCTGAAACAGCTCCCAAACCTGCTTCACTCAGGCAGTCACTACCTGAGGGAACCTTCGCTCAAATGCTCTGGAGGATGGGAAACACCAGGAAGCGTGGGGCTATGGTGTGGGGAGACGCATGTCCCATGCCACGGCCCACCTGGGCCCTGTTTACCTTGGAGATGCACCTCAAAGCCTCACCCCTGCAAAAGGAAAGACCTCCTCTCTGGACAGCTTGGAGGAACTTTTTAAAATGACTTCCACTGCACTGTGGCCCTAAGCAACTTCTGTGCTCCTTTGTCTGCTTGACAGCCATCCTCTGCCTTCCACGGTGGTCTGCAGACACTGAGGGTGGAGTGGCTGCTAGCTCTCCCGGGAGGAGCTGGAACCACAGCCCCCTGGCAGCAGCCGCTGGAAGACTGTGAAGACTTCCTTGTCATTCACTGTCACACACACACACACACACACACACACACACACACACACGTACTCACGAGCATGCGCATGAGCACACACCCACACCCACACCCACACCCACACACACCCTTTTTTTAGTACCTGGAATTGAACTCAGGACCTTGCACTGAACAGGCAGGTGCTTGTGCCCTTGAGCTATATTCCTGGCCTCCACACACATTTTTTTATCTGCTTGACAATATTAAATCTGTCAGTAGGGCAAGACTTCTATCTATGGCCATTGAGCAGGTTAATGGCAAATGCCAGGAGAGAGGCATGAGCTGGCCACACAGGCAAAACCTGGGCTCCCCCTTCCTGACCTTCACTGTCCAGGCCAGCTTCAGGCCCTACACACTCACTGAAACCTACATGCACAGGTTACTTTTTGCAGTGTTTCATGGTAGTCCACAGTAAGTGTGAACACACATACAAGGTGTGTTCAAATGTTCTAGAGATGAGGTGTTTTGGAGTCAGAGTCTGTCACCCTGAGTTGCTGTCTGGGCCTCAGTTTCCCTGTCTCTAATGACTAGGGGGTTTAACATCACCACTGAGATCTTGCCCAGGTCTGAGGGATGTTACACTATGTCTGCTGTCTTCCATTTAGGAGAGCGGGGCAGGGTCGAAGCAAGTGGACGGCCAGGAATCTGCTCTTGCAGCCAACTTGTGAAAGAGCTTGAGACCTGAGTGGACTCACAGTGTACACCCCTGAAAGCCGGGCTAGAAGAACTCACATCTGCGTCCTCTTGCTCCCCAGGGTCAGCTGGCCGCCCCCGCTGCTCCAGGCCCTGCACCAGCCAGGAGTCAAAAGCAGTGGAAGCCACTCTTGGAGTTATCTGATGCAAGGAAATCAGTCGATCCCAGCACTTAGCAGCAGGCTATATATAGAAGGCTACAAATGCAGTCACTTTAACTTCTCCCCGCAAAACAAATAACAAACCCTCTGAGGCTATTTTTACTCCCTTTGAGCGGTAAATACAAAGAGAAGGCAGATCAGGACCGGAATCTAAGTGAAAAGGAAGCCCAGGAACCTCAGGAGAAGGCTCAACTCACCCACTTCGGTGCCCTTCCCAAGGGTGAAGGTGAGCCCGCAGCCCCGCAGCCCGTCTTCCGCGTCAGTTTCTAGGACAACGTAGGCTGCTGAGTAGTCAGGGTCCGTGTGCTGCAGGGGAGAGTCCCACCCAAATCCAAACATGAGCGACCCCAAAATGAAAGAGGCACAGGAATAGACAATGCAGCAAAGAAGGGATGCGAGGACACCCAGCTCATGAAATAGCAGCAGAACCCAAAGGAAGCTGGGGGCTCCGAAAGGACCAAGGGAAAGCCCTCCTAGGAGTCCAGTGGACCGAAGGTGCAAGGCATAGCTATCCTGTGAGTGTGCACGAGTGTGTGCACACTGGGGATGAGCCGAGGGCCTCTCACATGCTAAGCACACACTCTGCCAATGAACTCCACGCCAGCCCCAAATGGGGATATTTTATTTCTTGATGTTTTTTGAGACAGGGTCTTATTATGTAGTTCAGTTTGACTTTGAACTCACAGAGATCCTCCTGCCTCAGTCTCCTGAGTGTTGCGATGATGCAGAAATTTTTAATGCTAGTGTGAAACTGTTGTTCAGCTCAATTTTAAAGCCAGGAGTTCTCAACCACAACTCCCCAAACAGTTATTTTTCACAAGCAGCTTCAAATTGAATAGACTTAGGCTTTAGAGAGACCTTAAATAAAACCGAACTGGGTTTCACTGCAGCAGTTTAAAATAGGGCTGACAGGACAACAGCACAAGCTCAGAGACCACGAGGGGAGACGAAGACATAGAGCCTTAAAACAGCCCTGAACAGAACCCGACAACCCTTTTTCTCTAGACTACTTTAGCTTTTTACTGTCATAAACGCTTTTTGTTTTAAAAGCGTTTCTTTTAAGCCGTTGGGGACTGAACGCAAGGCTTCACGCAGGCAAAGTCAGTGCTACCACTGAGCTACCTCCGTGGCCTCTCATTTACAGAGGGTCTTGCTTGCTAAGCTTCCCAGGCTGACGTGGCGGCAAACTTTGGATCCTCCTGCCTCAGCCTCCTAAGCTGGGATCATAGGCACTGTATTCCCGTGCCCGGCTTCACCATGTGTTTTGCTAAGTCTGTAGTTTGACAGTTAGGAAATCAGCAAGGCCTAATGAGATGGGGGGATTTTTCATATAGTGGGAAGAGAAAGTCAACAGTCAAAGCCAGGTGAAAACTAGGAGATCAGTCAGGCAGAAATACACAGAAGCTCTAGGGGAGAGAGGGCAAAGAGGAACTCGAGGCCGCTATCTGGCGGGGCAAAGAGCATTCGTATGGGCTGAGGGGCTGGCACGAACTCTCAGCAAGAGGGTGGTCCCCCCGGGCTCTTGGGGGGCAGCAGCCAAGGCTGTGGGGAACCTTCACTCAAATGCGCTGGAGGACAGTTCAAGTGCCCCTTCATGGCAGAAAGAAATGAATACAAACCCCACCTCTCATCAGGAAGGCTGCCTCTGCCGCTTCCCTGAAAGTGGCTAAGTGCTGACTCCAGCAGGTCCTGAGGGCGAGAGAAGCCAACCCCACAGAAACTGCAAAGCAGCACATTCTCCGGGGAGGTCCTGGAGAATCAGCACCCCACCCTCTGCTCTGTCCAGATGAATTGTTTCCTCAACTCTTCTGCCCTAAACCAAGTCATCTTAACATCCCATGAAGTCAGCCCTGGGCCAGAATCCCCTGTGTGTTTCCTTACGTGTAAACAGAGTGAACCCTTACAGCAGGGCTCTCTGCTTCCGGCAGCCCCATACACCTACAAGTGGACACCACTGTATCTGTCTTACACGAGAGAAGGATCAGCGACTCTGCCCACTTCCCGCAGGAGAAAGCCCAGGCCTGGACAGACTGCATGCTCCGCCGCAGCTGCTAGGCCTCAGAGGGGCAGCGGCAGCTGCACTCCCTCTGGTGTCTGGACTTTACAAACGCTTGCTGGGGCTTCATAGCAGGAAGGACCCTGTCTCAATACCAAACCAAACACATTTATTTGTGAGGTGGGACAAAAAAGAGACAAAGAAATCAACTAAATATTGTACTTTTAAGACTGCAACTTTTGGGCTTCAGGTACCCAGGGTAAGCTAGATCAGCAGGCCTTACATTCCTTAGGCTACTTTACCGCCAGACCCTAAACACTGCACTCAAATGTCTTTAGGATTTTTTTTTTTGTTGTTGTTGTTGTTTCTTGTTAGGCAGGGTCTCAGCCTATGTAGCCCCAGGCTGGCCTTCAACTCACTTTTAGCCTATGCTGGCCTCAAACCCAGGGTGTTCCTCCTGCCTCAGCCTCCCAAGAGCTGGGATTACAGGTGTGTGCCACACAATTGGCTCCTAAAATTCCTTGTGACTGAAAGTTCATAAATTGTCTTGAAGAAAAGCAAAAGAAACCCTGGCCCATAGCAGTACAATGGGCTCTTATCCTTCTGGGGCCTGGGCTACCTGTTGGTAGAGTTTCCACTCCCTCAAGAGAAGAATAAATGTTCCCCATTCCTGGAAATAAATGCCTTTATGAGGCCCTGCACCCGATTTCTTTGCACAAGTACCTTTATTTTCGGCTTAATAAAACCCTTCCTATGCCTCTTCCTGATGAGTCCTGCAAATTCTCTTCTGTGGGGTGGGGGTGGGGAGTCGACAAGCCTGTAAACTTATTCCTACATAAGGGTGGGTTAGGTTCTTTATTTCAGCTTCGGGGACCTCCTCAGATCCAGGGTGGTGATATTCCGAGGTCTACAAAGGATTATCAGTGGGCTTTTTTCTTTGTACTGGGGATTGAACCCAGGGCCTCCCTAGACTGAGCTACATTCCTAGTCCTTTTCATTTTTTTATTTCAAGGCACAGTCTAGAGCCCTGGCTGGGCTTGAACCTGTGATTCTCCCGCCTCAGCCTCCCAGGATGCAGAGATGACATGTGCCACCATGCCTGCTTTGACTGGGACTTTAAAGGCATTTACCATGGTAACATGTAAGAAAGGACTCGGGGATTTAAAAAGAAGTCAGTCTCAGAATAAAGGGCTTTCTTTTGAGATACCTGTTTTTATAAATTAGTCCAGGCTGACAAAGAGCAAAGAAATGTAAAGAGCATGTTTTCTGTCTACCTTGCTATGGAAGAAGAAACATCCTGGTAAATTCAACTTAGCATCCCTGACCGCAGTCTCTTTCCTCTATGTAGGGCTGACCTCCTCCTTTCCACATTTCCACGCGGGCACAGCTGTGTCTCGTGGGGACAGGAGTGGGGCGGGAGTCAGTGAAGGGCCAGCGGTCGGCGTCGGGCAGCCACCTGTGTCTCAGAGCCAGCTGAATGACAGTCAGTTGGCCAGAGGGCAGGAAAAAGTTCCTCTAATATTTTCAGCAAGCGAAAACGGCCCCGGACGTCTAGGTAGAAGCTGCGCACACCGTTTGGCCCTGGCAAATGTTCCTGGGTACCAGAACTTCCCTGAGCACCGCTACTAGGTGCTTGGTCTCTCAGCTCCACGGTACCGCTCTCATTTCACGGACAGGCCCAGAAGGCCCAGACTCGGGTCTTGTTTAAGTCGCACTGCAGACAGCAGCACAGGCAGGACGAGCCACCCCCTGAACCCAACTCCCCACGCTGGGCCTCGGGGTCTCCACCGCTGTCAACTCTATTCACGTACTCGGAGTACTGCGGGCTCCTTGGAGCAACCCAACAGAACGGTTGTTGGTGCTGCATTTTATGGATGCATTTTGACCTTCCAGGAAAACTTGCATTGTAAAAGCAAAGCTAGGACAGTTTAGACGGCACAGAGAAAGTGAAACGCTCGCTCGGGAGTGGGGTGTTGCCGGGGTTTTTGGCTATTGCCGGCTCTCGGAGAAAGGCAGCTCCCCTGTCCCAGCGCGGCTCCCACCGGACAGGCGCAGCAAGGGTTGCAAAGCCGTCGGCTTAATGGCCCGCGGGCCGGCCGGTTGGGGGCGGGCCGGACGTCCGTGGCACTTACCATGGCGTCCGAGCCGTGGCCCCCGAGCGACGTGGGGAAGCGCACGTCATGCACCAAGAGCCGGGATATCTTGCCGCGCACCATGTCACCCGCGCTCCACTGCGCCTGCCCTCCAGCCAAGGGGACCCCGGGAGCACTACGGGGCGGGGCATCATCTGTGCTGGTCGCGGGTTGGCCGCGTCCTTGGGCGGTGGCCGAGGGGCGTGGTATCATGGTAGCGACCGGCGCCAACTGGCGGCACCATCAGGGGCGGGGCGCCGAGCACCCGGACTTGGCCCGTGAGCCCTGACTGCCCTGGTAGTGGCTCCCCGGAAGTGTTCGGCCTTCTTCGTGGCGGGTCCGTACAGGTTTGTACTCAGGGTTGATCTCATTAGCCCTGAGTTCAGCCCTGCTCCCCCTGGACTGGCGATGCGAGGTGACTAGCACTGGCCGCGCCCTAAAAGCAGGAGTCAGGACAGATCCGGGCCAGTGGTTTGCCATCCACTGCGACCTGCTGGTGTTCACCCGCGCCCCCAAATAGTGGGATAGAAAAGTCCGCTTAGGACCTGGTCGAGTGTAGTGGCCCAGCACTCTGGGAGACTGAGGCAGGAGGATCTCAAATTCCACCACAGCCTAGACGTAGCACTCTAGACTCTCTAAATTAATTAATTAATTAAAATAAAATAAAGGGCTGAGGCTCACTGTGACCACCCCGGGCTCAATCACCAGTGCTAAGAAAAATCCAACAACCCAGAGAGGCAGGTCACTGTTGATTACACCCACAGCTGAGGGTGCTTGAAAGCATTTCCTTATCTGCCTAACTCCTAAGGCATGCAGATCATTTGAATTTCACTGATCAAAAAAATGAGGATTCAGAGATGAAGTGATTTGCCTAAACCACACCACCAGCTGAGGGACTGGTCTGGCTGCAGCCCTGAGCTTTTCCTACAGTCTTTATTTTTGGAATTACAGGTTCCCCTTTAAAACATGGTGATAACATCATGTTTCATCCAGGCCAGAAGTTTTGTTGCCCATGCATTTTCACACCATTTTAGAGGCTCACTGAAAGGCAGTCAAAAAGGAATCACTGAGAAGGATGAACAAAGTATGCGAGTGGCCAAAACTGCATGATTTTATAAGAAGTCTACATCTAACAATTACACGGTTTTTAAAATCATTTATTCATTTGGTACAGAGTCTCGCTGTGTAGCTCAGACTCATGGGCTGGGATTACAGGCACGCACAGTCACATGGGTTTCAGTGGCTGGCATGGCATGCAGTACTAGGGATCAAACTTGGGATCCTGTGCTTGCCAGACAGGCGCTTATGCTGCTGAGCTATCTCCACAGCCCATTATACAATGTTAAAGAAAAGGGAAGAAATAAGGGGCTAGATGTAGCAAAACGAGTAACAAGAATATCAAAGCAGTGGCCCAAGGTCCTGGAGAGGTATAGAAGTCTCTTCTGGCTTGGATAAACAAGCAATTTGCAATACAAATGAGATTATCTGTGAGAGGGCAAAACTCTTTCTTGTCCATTGACCTCAAAAGTCAACTGCCATGTACATCAACAGAAGACAAGGAAGGTTTCAAGGCAAGCAGGGATGGTTTGATCGCCTTAGGAGAAGTGGCACCCACAGTATTGGGAGGTACTGAGAGGCTATGAGTTTGGATGCTAAGGCAGCCGAGGTGTTTGCTACTAAGTTTCTTTTTTTTTTTTTTTTTTTTTGCGGAACCAGGGATTGAACTCAGATCCTTGTGTTTGCCAGTCAAGTGCTTATCCTATTGAGCCATCTCCCTGGCCCCTGCTACTAAGTTTCAAAAGCTCATAGTTTCTAAGTGTTATCTGCCAGAGCAAACTTTTAACAGTGACGAAATTTTTTTTGGAAAAAGATGCCAAAGAGAACCTATATTACAGAGGAGAATGCAATGCCTGGTCACAAGTCCATGAATGCCCACTTCACCTTGTTTTGTGTAAATGCAAGCAGGCATTTCAAAAGCAAGCCCCTTCTTGTTATCATTCTGAGAACCCATGGGCTTTTTTTTTTATTTGTTTGTTTTTTTCCACTTTATTTTTTTTGTGGGTTATGTTTTTTTTTTTTGACATCAGCTATTTTTATTTTAAAGAAAAAAAATAAAAACAATGGTACAAAATTTCAAAACAAGATTTTAAGAGAGTAACAATGGTTAATACATTGTGTATTGTTACTGCCAAAGTAGTTTCTCATATTACGAGATATAGGCAAGAAATAATAAATAAACAACATAGGTACAAACCTCTGGGTTTTTTTAAAAGTCAACATAAAATGGAAATATACTTTTT